ATATATTATTATTTTTTAAATATTTGTTTAACAAATTCGCCACTTTAAAGTGCTTTTAATAAACCAACTAACAGATGACAATTTGCGCAGCCAACGCCGACGCAACTACTATACTATAATGGCAATGCTAATAAAACTCTTTTATAGCTCACACACACCGAAGTTAGAATGCACTTACATGTGCCAGAATTGCCATCGCAATATAGTATATTATGTACATACATATGGAGAATACATACATACATATATATATGTATGTATGTCGTGTGTTCAATATAAATGCAACTTATTATATCAAAGGGAAGCTCACTGCTGCTCAGTATGTTACAAACGCAATGACTTAGTTGAACACTCTGGCGCAATGCTTTTAACGACTGCCCGTCGTCGCGTGAGTGGGACAAACAAGTGCGGGAACAATGAGAACGAAACGGCAGAAGCGAAGCCGAAACGACCAGCCGGTTGGTTGTCTATCGCCGTCGCCCCTGTTGTGAGTCGTTGCGTGCTGCTCTTTTCGCTCTCCAGTCACGAGCAGCGACGCTGCGCTGTGCGCTTTGTTATTGTTTCATTTTTTGCTGTTCCCACTCGTTTTGTTGTTGTTTTGTTATTCTTCTGTTTTGTGTTTGTTGCTGTTGCCGGCTCTTTGCCGGCTGCTCCCCTGAAAATATACAAGCACACTTAGTATGCGTATGCGAACAAAAGTGTGCGTGCGTGTGTGTGTGCGTGTGTGTGTATTTATTTACTCACAATTTTAGCTCTTTGCTGCGCTTTGAGAAATAAATCAAAACATTTGATTGATTGTCGACTGCCCCCAACATTTTACTAACTGGTGTGTGCATGTTGGTGTGTGTGTGTGTATATGTGCGTATGAGTGCTTTAGTAAGCTTGTATTGCTCTTGTCGACGCGCACCCTTCTCAGTCCGTTTCACGTTGGCAGCGGCCCACGAACGGTATCGCCGTCGACGTCGCAGTCCCTGCGTCTGCCGATTTGCCAGCCAGCTGATAAGCGGCTGCCTCTTATCGGAAGTTGGCGACAATTTCGATGTTGTCGCTTCTTTCCCCATTACCACCGCCCCTTCCCCACTGCCCCTATTCACAATGTTTGCATATATCGCCTGAACACAATAACTCTCAGAGGAAACCTCTCCAGCCCCCAATAAAGTAAATCATCAAGTCATCTACGCGTCGATGTTAAACACGATGTAACAGACCAGCCACGAATCATTTACACTTGCCAACAAAAATCATTCTAAACACACAAAAATGTCTTCAGCTTCTGGTTAAAAATGACTTTCAAACACAGAAGTGTCGAAGTGTAAATGAAAATTGTCAAATTTTCAATACACCCATATATACAAGCATTCATATGTATATACATACGTACATATATACATACATACATAAAAAGCTATTTGAATTCACTGAGAGAGTTCACTCCGCGTAATGCTTGCCAAGAACCGAGAGCGAAATTTGCATACTGCTATCTCGCTCTGCCGCACTACGCATATGGGTCGCTCGAAACGAAGCTCTCTAAGATTTCATGTAAATATTTCGTAGAAGATATCCAATCAGCATAGTGAGTGAACTTGAGTGTTTTTCCAAGTTCAATTCCAGCAACAACAACTGGAATCCAATAAGATTCCATCAAAATAAAGCACTCTTGATTTTCTTCAACTGCCTCCAAGCAGCAAGCAGCCTTGGATGGTCATCGAGTTCTACTGGGGCGAACGCATACACTCACATAATTATGTAAGTACAGTAAGGCTCGTGTCCCATTGGCTTGGCCTAAATGTAACTCTAAGCCGGCTGCGCATGCCCCTTTTTCGAGCTTTGATATTTTTCCCCAACGAAATGTTCGTATTCGTTTTCAAGGTCAGCGGCGTCGTCGTTGTCGCGTCGCAGTCCGTGCCGCTGTCGCTGCATTTGCAATGCGTATGCAGCGTGGCGCTTGTTTCAATGTCAAATCGTTTCAGCCGAAAATTTACACTGACACGAAACTCAACATTATTGCAGCGAAAACAGATTGTATTATATCGCTGCAAAGAAATATATATATAAAATAAAATACTATATAAGCAAATTTCTTATGTTAAATAAAAATTATTAAATTTTTACTTAATAAAATCTTTCAAATATCTAATTTGGCATTTTTGGAAATTGTACATTTTAACCACTGTCGATAATAATTGTACTAAAAAAGTAATTTTATGTTTGCTCGTTAGTTGACAGAAATGTGTGTCCATTTATGTGCATATCTACTTGACAAGTATATTATATATATGTACATAGACATATGTAAACATATATGGATATATATGTATATATACATATTATATTTTAAGTACGTATGTACAGTGGACTCTAATAGCTTTTGATCCAATATAAACCCAACAACCCGGCCACATTTTGCAACTTTTTATTTCTTTTTTTCTGCTGTTTATTTTGTATATTTTTGGGTGGTTTTCGATTCCGTGGCGTTCCCACTCGAGCATTTGAGGCTTGGCCAGTGGCGTCGTCGCCACGGTGGTTGTGGGGCCCGTCCAGCCCACGCAGCTGTTGTTGGCAGCGCCGCCGTCACTGGGTCGATGTTTGCGGGCTGCGTTTGTTTATTTGTTTGCCGTGCGTTGGCTGTTCCGTTTCCAGCGTTCCGCATCGGCAGTCGGTCGAACTGTCGCCTCGTCGCAATTTAGTGCTTTGCGTGTACCAGACTTGAACGCAACGCCGCCCGCTGCCTTCACAGCACGTCGCCCACCACCAACCAGCTCAAACCATACAAGAAAACCCGAACAGACACAWACGAACGAACGAACGTGCGAGCGAGCGGTCGGATAGCCGACGAGGTTCTTATTAGATTTTTTTTATAGTGGCTGCTATTGTTGTTGCTCCGAGCTTAGAACGAACGCCAGCAGCAGCAAGGCAAAGGCAAAGGCAACAGCAACGGCAACGGCAACGGCAATAATAATAACAAAAACAATAATAAAAACAACAGCAAAATCAACAACAACAAACGGGCGGCCGCGCCTTTGCATTTGACTTTAGCGCGCTTCGCAGTCGGCGACGTTGGCGTTTCTCGTTTCGTTTCGTTTTGTTCTTTTGCCTCTCGCATTAGAACGCGCGCTGCCATCGTCGCTGCCGGCGTCGCTGCTACAGTGCTCGTCGACGTCGACGGTCGTATTGGGCTTAAGCGAATTTCAAATTCGCCTGAACTTTTATTCAACGTGTTGGTTTCGTCGCGTGAGCAACTCTGAAACTGAAAACAAGAAACAAAATTCTATCTATCTATACAAAAAACCAAAACAACAACAACAACAAACGAAGAACAAACATTTATTAAGAGTCCCCGAAAATAAGAACACTGAATATACCAATACCAGCAACTCTATCCGTAACCGTATCTGTTAACCGTTAACCGTTAACCGTTAACCGTAATCGTAACCATAACCGTAACCGTGTAGCCGTAACCGTAACCGTAACCGTAATCGTAGTCGTAGTCTTAGTTTGATATCCCATTCGCGTCTATATCGTGTGTTCCGTAGTTGTTTCGAAAAAATATATTTTTTTTTTTTGTCGGATTCCACTTCCAACAGTTACAGAGAGCTATATATAGATGCTGTATCTGTTCAAATAAGAGAAAAACCGATATATAAGTATATATACCTACATATATTGTTATATATCCGCCTGGATCGTATAGATCGTACAATATTTTTTTTGAAGTGTTACAAACCACCAAGTGCTACCAAAAATGCCTTACTACAGCGTTACGCTTTAGTGTCACAAGTGCTACTTATCGTTAAATGCGAGCGACCAGTGTTGGTTAACAGCCCGCATACACACACGCATCAACAGACAATCAACGTTAGCCAACACTCGCAGTTCAGTTCTGCTTCATCAATCTCGACCACAAGTTCTACGTCTTCGCCATCATCATCCGGCTCTTCAGCTGCATTAACAGGTGAGCACTACGACCTAGGTTTATCCTCCCTCTCCCTCTGTATTCCTTTTCCTCTCTACTTAAACGTGTATATAGTTCCATGTGAGTCTACGTGACTCTACTCACACGCTGGCACATTTATCGCAATGCGCTCGCCCCGCCCGGGTAAATAACAGCCCCCGCCCGCCGCTTGCCGCCCCCGCCCCACCCTCTAAATTAGTGGGGCCAGTTCAATCCATATACTGATTATGATTCGCTTGCGATAGTTATGTTTGAGCTTTTGCGGTTGCGGGAAACTCCCCGATTGCACCGTCCATCCGATCCGACCCGATCCCATCCGCTCGCACTGCAATTCGGATTGCTGCATCGATTCCCCCGATTCCATTAGGAACGGGCTTACACCAGCTTAGCGGACTTAGCTGCGACGCAATCGCATGGTGTGAATCTATTCGCATCGTGTCTTTTATTGCCTTTGCGAACTTCATTAGAATGCACAGCGTTGTCAGCTAGCGATTCATCACTCTGCTCTAAGAGCTCAACTAAGATACATTCTGATGCGAATATATTATTGGGTGAAGCGTCATCACAGTATCACAGCATTTGAATTTCGCCTTTAGCTCTTCTCTTTTTGAAAGTCGTTTGACTAGCGAAGCATCTCAGCAATCGCAATAAATTTGTATCTTAGAAATGTTCAATTCTTGTTTCATCAAAGCAATCCAGGTATCACAGTAGTCGAATCTTACCTAGCCGACTTTCCTCAAAAGTTAACCCATTGCTAAGAAATCAGCATTTTCATCACACTATGGATAGTATCACAGTATCATGTTAGTTTTTACTACAGTCAGCCCAATATCACAGTATTGGAATCATATAACTCATAACTGTTTCTAAACAGCTTAGCTACTTTGATCTATCTATTCATTATTCATAATTGTTTGTTAATTATTCGAATCACATTGCAAAGATAACAGCATTCCCCAACATTCTCCCCCTCTCTTTCTCTCTTTGTCTCTGTCTCATTCGCTGATAATACTCACTTGCCTCACATATGCTTGCCACTCATCAAGAGTCTTTCGAGCACATTGCATATATTGCATATGAATCATGTGGATCATCGTGGGCTTCACAATCCGCACAGATTCCCAATTGAATCTAATTGGAAGTGCGATTAGCATTGCTGAAAGTCCAACTGAAGCCAAAGTCTTTGCTGTCTAATCAGAAGAGCAGTTGATTCCTTGCTTAATATATATATTTATTAATAATAATGTACATACATATGTATGCATATGTATTTTATTAGATTTTACTATACTATATGCTTTTCTGCAATTCTATTGAATATTGCAATCGCATCTGAACGAAATGGGGCCACATGGAAGCTGTTGCATATATGTAAATACATATGTATGTAGTTGTACTTGTGGCAGAAGCAGTTTCTGCTTCTTCTTCTACTTCTTGCTCTTCTTTTGCCCTGCTCCATATATTATTTATATATATTTATAAAGAATCCATTCTTGAAATTCCTTTCATTTTGCATATGGGCCACGCGGAATTTTGCCAATTTCCACTTGCTTCAGCTGCCACTGCTTCTTCTTCTTCTTCTTATTGTGTGTGCGTGTGTGTGTGTGTGTGGAGCTAGCGATGTTGCCTGTCGCAATTATCTGCGGCTCGTGCCATTGCAAAGGGCACAAACACACACACACACACACACACAGCTAGCCTGGCCTGCTGCCTTGCCAAGGCAGCACACACACACACACACACTCATACATATGCATATATATGTATACATATATATCAGGTTAACAGGTGTTTTGGCTCTTTGCGCACTTCTTGTCCGTTTTGGCTTTGGCTTTGGCTTTCAACGCCTGTTGCCTTCGCTTGCCACGCCTCTGTTTTGGCCAGCAGCTGCGCATCATTTTCTTCTCTTTCCCCCAGCCTCTTTCACTCAATTGAATTTATTCATTAATTTTTAATTTATTAAGCAATTTTTGCGAACAAAAACAAAAAGCAAAAAAAATATTAAGAAAGAAAATGCAACGCATTTTCCTCTAGCCAAAAATCAACCCCTTGACGTGGACCTCAACCACCCCTGCAGCTCGAAATAGATAAATACTGCAAGCGTCCAAGTCTATTGCGACCCAACAGAAAAGAGGGTTACTTGCGACGAAATTTCCCAAAAAAAAAAAGAAAGAATGAAAGATATAAAAAAATAACAGAGAAGAAGAAGCAGAAGTAGAAGTAGAAGAAAAGCTGAGCGCTGCGCATTTTATCGCCAAAGATTTATGCGAGCGAATGCGGAAAATGTCAATGGAAAATAGCAGCAAAGCCCAGCCAGCCAGCACCCTCCCCCTTGCCGCCGCACCCCCTTGAGCCCATTTCTTTGGCTGTTGTCAACATGCGTGCTAGGGGTGGATGGGAGGGGTGGGCGGGGAACGGGGCGGCGTTCGTCTGTGTCGGTTGTTAAGGGTGTTCATATATGCGCCTAAAAACATAAATTTTATGAACATGTGAGAATTGTACTCAATGTATGTAGTTGAGCCACTCAGTTGGGGCAACACACACACACGCACAACTATACATGTGTGTGTGTGTGTGTGTGTGTGCTTGTAATGAATGATTTCCATTGTTGGCAGCTCGCTCAAGCTCAAGCCGAAGACGCAGTAGTTGCTCTTACCACCCAACACACACACACACACACACACACACAGACACACACAGGCACACATACGTGCCTGGCTGTGCGTGTGTGCATGTGCGTCTAATGTTCCAAAAACAACAAAAAAAGTTTCAAGAAAACTGCGGCGTCACATTGCAGAGACCCTCCTCAGCTAAGAGCAGGCCAAGCCCGGACAGGCCAGAGCAGAGCAGACCAGACCAGACCAATCCAATCCATCCACACAAGAATTTTGATTCACTCGCAATAGAACATATTTGCTTCTGTTTTCTCTGCTAGTTGGTACATAGTATTTTCCACTTTCCAGTTTTCATTTTCCATTTGCCTCTGACATGCCCAATTCCAATCTCAATTCCACTTCCATTGGCCCCGTCCAAGCGTTTGACTCTTTAGACTTGAGTCCGACATGTGTTTCATTTCGATGTAAGCAACTTTTTAGAACTTATAAACACACATATATATATATACATATATCATATGTATATATTTGTATATATCCCATAAAGTTAACGCCCAAAATGGCTTTTTGAGTACATGCTACAAATTATACAATATATATACATATATACATATATGTATATAACCTATGTCAAGCGTATGTATGTAGTGCGCATTAATGACTCCCAATCCCCATTCCCATCTCCCTCCCAGCCCTGACCACCCGCCCGCCCCTTCCTAACCCGACTGTAGTTGGCCTGAAGTTTACAGCCTTGACAGGCGCGCGATTTGACGAGTTGAAGCCGACCAAAAAGAACATTTCGACTTTGCGACAGTGTTGCCACCCGTCCAAAAGCATCGTAAAACATGTAGTAAAAAAAAAAACATTTGTGCCAAACGCAGCAAGGGTGAACTGGCAAATACCCTAGCTGAGCAGAATTAGTGGGTATATTATCGGCAATAGGCAATGCTAGCAATGACCATGATGATAATGATAATGATGATGATGATAGTGGTGATGATAATGCTAATGCAAAAGTTAACGCTAATAATATTGCTAATACTTATGCCAATGCTGAGGTTCATGGTAGTGATAATGCTAATAGTAATGCTAACACTAATGCTAATGCTGATGCTAAAATGTGTTACTTATGGTAATGCTGATGCTAATGCTAATGATAGTCATAATGCCAATATATATGATAATACTTATGATAATTCTAATACTCTATCATGATATCATGATAATGATATTCATAAACATAATCCTAATCATATTCACAATCAGAATCACAATCTTAATCATAATCACTATTATAATTACAATCCATATTATAATCATAATCATAATGATACGAATGATGATGATGAATCACTAATGATAATGATTATGAAGATGAACCAGTAAAGAAAATCATGTGGGCAATCTATTAATAATTGATCATGATGATCATACTGATCATGATGACAATACTGACAATAACAATGACAATGACAATAACAATGAATAGGCCAACAAAACATTTGCAAAATATGCCTAAGCCATGATCATGCTCAGCTATAATTATAATATATTCTAAAATATATATTGTGCCATACATTATTATAATTGGCCAGCAAGCTAATATGCCCGTCTTCACTTCTAGCTGAACAGTGTAGAAGCTATTGAGACGCAACTGTACGCAGCATCGCTGGCGAGACACGGCTCATTTCCATTCAGCATTTGGCCATACATTCGTATTCACATATTCATACTCACATATTCACACACTCATGCATTCATACATTCACATATTCATTCCATATTTCTCTCCATAATTCCTTGGTTCGGGGCCTGTCAAAAACTTTGCGTACGACACAAAACTGTCAAAGTTTATGAAGGCGCATTTTCGAATGTATTTTCGACGCTCGACGCATCTTTGTCAGGGCTTTTTGGCGTTTCCTTTCGGTTTTGCGGCTCTCGATATTTGTAGCGCAATGAAATTGTCAACGAGCTGCCAACTAAATAAACTAATAAATAAATAAATTTGGACTGCAGATGCTTCGAATGTAAACAGAAACTAAAAGTAAAAAACTCAACCAAGAGCGTGAGTAGCCCGGCGCCGGATATTAACACCGTCAGCTGATGTATCGATCGATGAGCGAGCATCTCTATATGTCTGCACAGTGAACACTGGCTAAAGGCAATACAGCTTCGTTAGCCATAGATAAATACTAGATAAATAGAGAGTTTACTCTCCGAACCAATTGGTAGTTCAGGAAATCTGAACAATGATAATGGTAATGACGATGTTAATAGAGCATGTAATGAAGAAATAACAATAATAATGGCAAGACTAATAGCAAGGCTAATGACAAGACTAATGCTAATGCTAATGTTAGTAGCAAGCATAAATATTAGTGACAT